TTGACAAAACTACAAATTTTGGTTTTAATTTTTAATTTTTAATTTTTATATTTTTATATTTTAAGGGTTTTAAAATAATTTTTTAAGTTTAGATTTATATAAAAAAATTTAACTTGAATTTTTAGAAAAAAAGTAAATATATAAAATAGGAAGAGAGAGATTATAAAGAAGAAAAAGTAGAAGACTCTTTAGTAGTTTTATAATTTAAATTAATCACATTACCCATTCACTGTCATATTAGCACCAAGCCATTCTTTGGTAACGGAGTAATAAGGATGTAAACGGAAATATGACATTTGATGATGTCATCGTCAGCAAAAAAAAGTTGATTCACGGGTTTTGTAAAGTAAATGGGCTGATTTGCATTGTTTTTAAGTAAAGGGGTTGATATGTCACAATAATAAACGTAGAGGAGCTGAATTGCACGTTCTGCCATCTTTTTATGTCACCAGCAAATGTCAATGTTATATCTTCGGTGTCCAGAGACTCCAAGGGCACGTTTCACATGGTTGCTGAGCTCTAGGCCCTCACCGGCCACGGTGTCGGACGCTGGTAATGATTGTACATTTCCATTCGCTCAGACAATCACTTTATATCGCTCCACATGGTCATTTGCCGGCTTTTTCTGTTTTCGATGGAGCAATAATTAATTCTTCTGAATTATTATCCTGCTTTTGCAGAAAGTTGTCCTGATCAGTTGCAGGCAAGTTCAATCCATTATTAATTCGTTTAGTGATGATTTTGAGAGATGATGTTTAAGATACCAAAGTTCTAAGTTAAAACTCAGCTCTTCACGCCACTCTCAATCCCTCACCCTCAAGTTTCCCAATTCAACAACCAAAGAAGAAAAAGAAGAAAAAGAAGGAGAAGAAGAAGAAGAAAAAAAAAAAAAAAAAAAAAAGAAGAAGAAAAGGAGGCAGGCAATTCCATTACCATTTTTAAAACGGGGCTTTGATATTAGGAAGAATATTTGAGAAAAGAAAGACGTACAACTGTAAATTTTTTTCGAGCGTAATTTTTCTATGAAAAATAAGAGTAACTTTTTGCAAATATTCGAAAGGAGCTGGGGGGTGTTGAACGCCCAATCAGGGGTTATAGAGATGAGCATGGTTTAATTTTAGTTATAATTAAAATTAAATGATTAGTTTCTTAAAATTTTAAAATTTAATAATTAT